GAGCAAACCATTTCCTTTCCGTCAAAAGCCCAAGTCCCCAGCACGAGAACAACCAAGTGATGCAATCTCTCCAATATTGGCATCGGATCTTCTTCCAGTCTAGAGTGTAATAAGACCAGCCTCCTCAGTTGTTGTGGTAGATTCTTATGTTCCGGTAACTTCTCTATTCTTCCTTGTAACCTCAGCTTACAGGAATATGGGTAGCTCGACATTTTACTCAATTCACCTTGAGTGAACAAGCGGCCGAAGAACTTAAAAGATGAGGTTCGAAGATGTTTCAAAGCGAATTTAGCAAGTTGTGGCATTATCTCCAACTCCTCGCATTCATTGACGGTCAGTTTTTGCAAATTAGTCAGTTTGCCTATATCGTTCACATCACAATTAAACGGCTTAAAGTTTCTCAGTGTCCGTAAATTCTTTAAAGTGTCAAATCGCAACTTTGACCACTCTCCATAAAGTTCCCCCTTGAAGTGAAAAACGAAGGGAAGGTGGAGACTCCTCAACCTTCTCATCTTACGCAACACATTTGGCACAATACCACTAGCAGATGAAGCCACACGCAGGTCCAAAAATTCCATACATATAAGGTTCCCTATAGATTGCGACAAGTCATCAAAATAACTTCCCGCTAAACTTAAGAATCTTAAATGGATTAGGTCTCCCACTGATTTAGGTAAATTTCCTCTCATATCATAAAGATTCTCCAGTTTCATAACTCTGAGAAACTTACAGTTGATAAAAATCGGTTGAAATTGCTTCCAAATCCCTTGGACAGATCCGAAGAACATGAAAGTTCGAAGGTGGAGTATAGTCCTTTCTATTGGTTTTACGCTCGAAAACATGTTTCCTTCGGCAATCTTGTGCATATTGAGCGAAAGCCTTCGTATTTTGCAAGTTGACTCGACTTTTATTGCTGTGCTTAGAAAACTCTCTTGCATAGCCTTAAAGACGCATAAGTCTCGCATCACGTCATGAAGGTGGCAAGTTTTGATCTTTCCACTCAAGTTGAATCGTACTTGAACCATCCCCCTGTTAACCAACTCCGTTAAATATTGCTCTGCTATATCTTCCACTTGAATTTCTCTCTCTTCGTCATATGGATTCAGCGACACAAAGCCTTCAGCAATCCACATGTAAAGAACCTTTGTTGCGGGAATTTCTGCATCCTCCGGAAAGCTACCCAAATATAGGAAGCATGGCTTTAGATGCCATGGTAGATCGTCATAGCTTAAGGCCAACACTTTTGACACATCACTCTTATCGCTAAAATACAAATTGATCTTTTTGTAAACCGTGTCCCACTTGTTGACCGCCAGAAGTCCACCAAGCACAATGATAGCTAGAGGTAATCCTCCACACTTCTTAAGGAGTTCATCTCCTAACCTCTTCATGTCTTCAGTGATTACTGCACAGTATCAAGCAATAAATTGTAACTTAGCAGTCATAGGAAGATGCAACTGTCATAAGAAGATAATTTCAAGTACGAATATATGCTTTTAGATATATAAGTAAGATTGTACAGTTCTTTATATTCCATGGTTCATTTATGCTTTTGTAAGGGGAAAGAATATAGGGACCACAACAAAGCTCCTATATATGCCTCCATCTACGCCTGGAAGATCAAGAACCCTAAATTTACAAATGAAATGTATCTTCTTTGTTATACGTGGCTTGAATTGAGTGATTCAAGCAAATGTATAACAACAATAATCCTACTTGATGAAGAAAAACGAAAGCAATCCGGGGATAACTCAAATGTGCTAATAATCTCTCGTGACTTGAGTGTGCTACTAATCTCATTCGCAAATTCTAGTGAAATCTTCATGTTGCCCCTCTCCTTTGTTGCATGAAGATTCACGATTTTCCTAACAATCTCAATTCTTATTGTTAAGCCAACTATTCACAAATGCAAAAAGGTGGACATGAGATGAAGCCTATGGAAGAAGTAACATAGCTAGGCTTCACATTATTTCATTAATCTTATCAAAATCGCTTATTTTCTGGTCCATATAAAAGCCACTTCGATATTTATTCGGAGGAAAGGAGGAGCAAAGTTTTGGATGTTGGTATAGAGGTACAATGGTTAGCCGTTAAGAAACAAAAGGGGCATTTGTTTACCCAAAATTTGAAATTATGGTGCCTAATACTTGTATCTATTATTGGAACTCCAATGTAACTGTTGATTCATAAATTGCTAAAGCTTCCAAAGGGCCAAACTGAGCAATGAAGTACCTGGTATTTGTCCCTCCATCTCTGATTGTCTTGTGATACCTTCTACAGCTTGGCCCGTAGCAATACCTTGACCAACTCCAGGTCCAATAGAAGAAAGTTCAATAGCTAATCGTGCAATAATAACAAGGGGGCCATAAATCAAAATCAAACAGACAATATAATCTCTTGAACTATATGCGAGGATAATAACCTTAGAGAAGCCTTACTTTTCGTTTTAGGAAACACCCTCTTCATCAGCAGCTCCCGACTCTCCTGGTTTGATAAGCACGGAGGTTCATGGAGAAAACCATGAGGATCAATATACTCCACTATTTCTTTATTGTGAGTCGTTATCAATAACTTGCTTCTCTTGTTCTCGACCGGGAACACGGCTCAAATACCGTCCCAATCCTCTTTGGTCCAAATATCGTCAAGAACCACGATACATCTCTTCTCTTGTTGGATCTTGTATAAAGTTTCAAACAATTCGTCATCTGTCATTTGCATAACCTTCTCTCTTTGATCTGGGACTAACTTAACAAGAATTCCCACCAAGATTTCTTTCGTATGGTATTCTTGAGATACGCAAGCCCATGCGAAACCATCGAAATTGCTCTTCACTCCATCATGAGCGAAGACTTTCTTAGCAAGTGTTGTCTTACCCAAACCACCCATTCCCCATATAGAAATAACTCTGTGCTGTCTTCCATTCTTCAACTCTTTCACTAACACCTCAATACTATCTTCCATCCCAACAACATCCTCCTCGAAATGGGCATAAGTATGCCTTTGCATCGAAGCCGTCGCCCATTCGCGATTGCCCTCATTCGCTAATAGTATGCCATGACCCTGCATACTCGTTCTCAGATTGGAGATCCTGGATTTTAAGCCCTCAATCTTTGTCCCCACCACATGAGCCTGCACCCAAGTGCACTTCGCCACGAAGCAAGCATACGCTTTGATGATGTTTTGTTCCTTCTTTGGTGCTACTCTGAGGATGTATTGCTCGATGACGTCTTCAGCATCATAGGCAATGTCACGGAGTTGGGCGACCCATTCTCCAACAACTTGCTCGCGCTCTTGTCTTGCATCTGCATCCCTCAACATGGCCTGAATCAGCCTCAGCTCCCTTTGCAGGTCCTTGACCTTGCCCCCCACGCCCCACAAGAATTTGGCCTCGTCGATGAGCAGCTTTCCTATTGTCTCCGCCGCGAATGAAACAACAGCCTCGGCCATTGGTACTGCGGTACTTGAAAATGATCAGTGGAGCTTATGATGGAGAATGACTTGAGAGTTCACTTTTCATGCGTTAATAAGCTCTGAACATATAGGCCTTCAGGTTGCGGAAGAGAGAAAAGGAATGAGTACTTAGAAAGTTGCGTATTGTATTGATATTCCATATTCTACATCCACCGATGCACGAAAAGCACCCCAAGAAGAAAAGAATGGAGTAAGGGAAAAGTTTACAGGGTATATATTCTCTCTGCAGGTAGAAGAAATGCTTTGTTGCTCCAGTTACGGATGTTCCAAGACATTACCACTGATATGCAAAAAAGTTATCACTCGTGAGTAGGCAAACAATCTGAAGACCGGCATTGATTATATAATCAGTCACATTATCCCGTACAAAATGTATCGAACACACATGTCAGAGTTGTCAGAGTTAGATGTCTAGACCTAAAAAACAAATAATTCCTACCGCTCATATTAATTAATCATTCCGACCAAAAAAAATATATTAATAAATCATCTCCCGCAATGAGTATCACTCTCCCAGCAATTCCTTCGCAGCTCTCGAAATCCCCAAATGCAGCAGCGACCATGGAGGCTCCCACGAGTTGGAACGTCACCTTCACCAAGCACTTCAAGCGGAGAATTTAGTTACCTTCGATTGGGCTCGGACATGATTGGGTTTGATTGGCTTGTCTTTGTCAAAACTGCACTGGCAATCAATTTGTTACCGTCTTTGTCAAAACAAATAATTTTTACTCACTTCAGCATTCTTTTATCGTTAGTGTTAGCTTTCTCGCAATATATGTTTCCTCATCTGACATCGTAAAATATCATCAGACTCAGCCTCTGATTTCAATGAATGTCGCTATACGAGGGGCTTTGCAATTGGCAACTCACAGGTATTTCACAGCTACTTGTCCTATTCTGTTTACAGTAATCGATTCTTTCAGCTCTATTTTGACCCGTCTGTGGCAAGGTTGTGACTCTAAGCATCTTGAAATTCCATTACAACTTAATGAGTTTTGATGTTTGTAGAAACTCTTTGGTCCAAACTACTGGACAAGCTGAATTAAATTAACGGGAGATAGCAACTGCTTGTAGGTCATTTTCAAGCTAGATGCATGAGGACCTGCTTGAATTCTCTAATACATCCCAGTCCAAAATCTAGTTCTTTATTTACCTTGAGGACATTCTTAATTTCACTGAGCTTTGTATGACTAGCATGTACATCTGCTGCAATTAACGTTTGCAGCCTTCTCATGAACAAGCTCACCCCAAATGCTGCAGCAACAATCTTGTTTCTGAAGCATCTCTTTCACGTGGTTCTCCCGGCAATGCTAATGATGAAAGGATGACCCCTGAAGGAGATAGAGATCCATTGAAAGTGAAGGCTGAGTGTCCCAGTTTTGATCTTGGATTTTGAACCATATCCATTGCTCAATCAACTATATTGCTACTGTCAAGAATCGGGATGGAGTGCGCAAGAATCTCGTGCCTATCACACATGAAATCTGTACAGTCGAGCTCTTTTTTTTATGTGGAGTGTTCTAGTGCCAAGTTCATTTGCAGCAGTCTGATCTGAAACGTTTTTAGTTACACGACATAATTAATGTATTTCCAGTGATCTTCAACATACTGAAGTACACTTATGATGCAAAGAAGCTGAGATATGGGTCTATCTGGTTTCCTTTATCCCCTGTTCTTCTTAGTTCTCGTCCAAGAACTTGTATAACTTGCTGTCCTTTCTCGACTTCCACATGCTAAGCAAGGCCTTGAAGAGACGTTTGTTTTTGCTGGAATATAGCTCGATATCAGTTCTTCTGTTCCTCTCAACATGAGTAGACATTGTAGTGGATCTTCGGGGTTCCGATTGGTACTGGATGTTCATGTGGGCATATAAGAGAATCGATCATGAGAGATCATGTCCGCAAGACATGTCCAACAAAAAATAAAGCTTAATAGCTAAGCTGCACTGAAGTTCATTGATGCTTACTCGTCTTTTGGCATTAGAAGGGTTTGGAGATCTATAGACAAGAGAACCCGAACGTGTGAGTTGAAATTGAAATGGGGAGGCGCATTTTTCTGGTAAGAAAAAGTGCGGCTTGCATTAGGAGCTTGTCTGACTACACGACATATGATACCATCATAGGGTCTGAAAACATGACGCAAACGCTAGGTATGGCAATCTAGAGCATTCAAGTCGAGTGTACTGACCTGCTTTTTTTTTGGATGAAGTACTTGCGAATGAAAAGGTGCCGGCTGGGGAGGATTGTGGAAACTGGTTTGCCGAATGCTGTTTCCTGCATCAGGGTTCCACTGTTAGCATCGGGTCTTTTCGAAGCTAGGATGATTAGCACAGATTCCATCAAATGTTACCTGACAAATGATGCAGAAGTCTCTATATTTCTTGGATATATGTCTTCGGAAAGAAAAAAAGTCATTAGTACATCAGTAGTAGCATTTGATTTTCTTCTTTTTGATGGAATAAGTTGAACACATGTAAATGATGAGCTAGATATCAGCTAGTTCTATGACTCAATGAGCTTTTTATCTAATAGACCAATCTTGTTCCGTGCAATTTGCATAGTGGTAGCTAAAACAGAAAAAGAGTCGTACAATGTTCACCAGCGGACATTTCGCCATATACTTCACTTGTCATACAGTATCGCGGATTCTTGCTGACTCCACCGTCTTTAGCTTTTGAAACTGAAAGAAAGTTCTTAAGCACGAGCCAACTCGAAACTTTTGATCATAATAAACCAATGACAAATCTTGTGAAGGGAAGCGTGCCTGGTAAGATATATTGCGTGTGGTGCTTCGGAGTTCTTATCGCTAGTGACTGCTGAGAAAGGCCTCCACGGTCTATGAACATCTCACACATTCTTAGTCTCTAAAGCACAAAAACAGGGTGGAAAATTATATTCGTTATCTGTGATGAATAAGTCGACAGTAAATAAAAAAATAAAAATAAAAAATCGACAGTACGAGAGATAGTTGTTCTCTATGCCATTTTCCATATTAATGTTGAAGCAGGATATGTTCTGCTATTTAGAACATGTTTTGCTCTGCCAATTAGTTTGTTACAATGTAATATAATCCGACACGTCACGGAGTTTATCTAAAGTAATTTCAGATTTTCAAAAACTTAATTCTTCTTGGTAAGTTGCAATTTGTTAGACCCTGCACATGGTAAATCAGAGGGTATGCAATATAGAAGACCTGTCGAACGCAAGAGAATCTGAGCTCAATTGCAGATGCTTCCTCAATCTTGTCATCCAGGAGACAGTTGACCTTATAAGTCATGGAGCCCAAGTGATCCACAGTGTTTATGAAAGCTTTTGTCACATAATCTTTCAATGTGTTCGCCACTCTACAATATTGTCAAGGCCATTTAACAGATGCGCAACAGAAAAAAATGCTCAACCCAGTACACGACAATGAAATGAAAACCTATTTATCTCACATTTGTTTCTGATCATGTCTGTTGTAAGACAATTCAAAATAGTCAGCTGCCGAGTATAACTGCTTCCTAAGATCCTTCAGGTCCTGATTAGTGAAAAAGGTTACAATCAGCATGTAAGACAAAACCAAACCTTTTCACCCCGAAATTTGAACATGATGAAGACTAGATCATGAGGAATTTGATCATCTAACAAGTGAAAAAAAAGTAGAGGAAAGCAACTGGTTCATGAACACAGACAACTATGAAAATGGATAAATGAGATCATAACGGAACACCAATCGAATTTCAAGGTAAACCTAGTAAAAGTAACTAGTAGTTATGTACTGAAGAAAACTTCAGGTGTGCGTGTTTATATAAGTACCTTCAAGCTATCTGAAAAGTTCAAGCTCTGTTTCATGGAGAGCTCATCATAATGTGAAGCTTGCTGAGGAGCGGAAACTGGAGAAGGCAACTGGGAAACATCCATCATACCAAAGTTTAGAGTATCTTCACCTGTTACAATGAAGATGAAGCAATCAGATTCAAATTCACACACTCGTGCACTGACTGTCATTATCCATTTCCAAGACACCGTCTCGTCCTAGTTGTAATTTTCCTTCTAACCGAGAGAACATTTTCCTTCTCTATTATCTTTCACCGTCCTGCCAAATCATGAAAACGTAATTTCTTCTTCTTGATGTTCTTACCCTATTCTTATCTCAACCATTTCCTACCATCAAAGCCGAGGCTAAAATCCTGAGATATTGCAAAACTCAGAGAGTTCTTCGTGTTCTGATGACAACAGTTATTGCCAACGCAAGCAAACTTTTCTTCTTGTTTTGTCAATTCACGGATCACATAGAGCATTGCTAAACCGCAAGTCCAAAAAGAACTAGAGAAAAAATCCCAGTAGGAGAGCAAAAAGCACATGCAACGAATATGACGTTACCTGCTCTTTTCCCTTTCTATCTACAACAACACAGTCCCCAGCGTAGTTTCAGCTCACTAACATTCCTCAGTAAGGAAAAGAAAAGAAACATATCCAAAAGGCCATAACCAGAAATAGTGATCTTCACCTTAGATATTGAGAGGGAGAGAAAGCAGAAAAATCATTTTGCAGAGATGTGTCACCACCAAGTGTCAGAGTGAGGCAGTGATGACTCTTGCTGAAGATGGGCTTTTATAGATAGTTGTTTGTGCAATTTGTGCCTTATGCTTTTGTCACAAGCTTGTTTGAGTGTCTCTGTCGGGGAGAGTAATAATTGGGGTATGATGAAGGCTACATTTTACTAACAAGGACAAGAAAGGCACTGAGTTTTTTGGAAATAAAGTTCTGAAAGCAATGCACACCCAAACAGAAAACTACCAAAGTGAAACATCCGAAAACTTTAGCATCCCAATAATTCTTAGTCACTGTTTTTGCCCGTGAGCCTCTCATGTACGAGCACTTTCTTCTATCTAATAATTTAAACTTTTACATATCGAGCATAAAAGGTAGACTCTTGCCAATCCAATTGCCGCTCCTGTTCATTTGGCTTACGAGTTATATCATCCCTGCGTATCTACACGAGGAGTGACACGTAAGCGAAGATGTTACCAGTTATTCTTATGCAATGATCAAGTGTAATATTTGCTCTTCATCATGGGTAGTACAATCATCTTCATTCAAGATCACTCACCGAAAACAGAAACCTTCTCTTGTGTGAAAGACGTGGTGTCGGTTTGGCATTTGGTACTACAATGTAAGTCAATCCTCTACACAGCCGACATACATCAGCTGTCGGTTGCTGTCAGCTAGAGTCTTTCCATCAATTGAGCCCCACTACATTAAGACAGAATTTTTTTTTAAAAAAAAGGGACATAGTTCATTTAAAATAAAAGATTAACTGGATATTTGACTACATAAAAATCATGTATGGGTGGTGATTTATAACCGTATCGCCATCAAAGTCATTGGGAGTTCCATCTAATTTTCTCGCTGATGATCCAGTTTAATTCTTCAACAAAATTTGTCATACTAGGTGTAAAACTCAAGGATGGGTGATCTCATTCATCGGCCTACCCAGGGTCGATCTATCACATTCCTAACTCAATTTGCACTCGCCGAGCACTTTTTTGTGATTCGATTATGCAAAATGACAGTCATCAGTGGACTCCTTTAGGATGTCAGAAGATGCAGGGCTTAAAGCATTCAATTCAGTAACTGATTGACATTTAATCTAATATAGACCAGCTCTAACTCATGCAGTACGTTTTCTATATACGTCTCAAGGATTCGCTGGTGGTCCACTGTGCATGCAAATCTAACCATAGTGAGGTTTTGCAATACATCGGTGTAAATCCCAGTAGAAGTGAGGTGGCAAAATCTTTGCACTCTTGAACTTTTTGGTAAATACAGTAGTCAAGATACGAGATCGAGCAAGTCTACATGGTAAGATGGGAACAAATCGTGCACTGTCGAGCAGAAGGGCCTACTTGTAAAGAAACAACAAAAATCAACAATTATTTAGAAAATAATGGAATAAAGACGAAAAAGAGCCTAAGAAATTGGAAACATATGAGTGGTTGGGAGTTCCTTCTCAGACGTTTGGTTATTACATCATCATACGATATGATGAGATTTGTCGATGATTGCACATCGAGTGAGTACATTATGACAACCATGATTTAGAAGAGGCGGACCATTGTTGGATACCCACCCACTAAATTCCTCGTCCTTGCTGTTTCCCCGATCCGTTAGAAGTATCAATTAAGCAAATTGATGGTGACTTCCATTGTTCTTGCCCAGTAGGAGGAACATCAGTTATCAGAGACGGTCAACAGCAACTAGCGACCACTTTTATTTTACCATGCAGAGGCTAAATCATGGATCATGAAAGACTCTAAGAAAATGCAAACCCAGAATCATTGATTCTGCTCAGTCCTGAGAGCTTTATCGCAGCAAATGTACCAAGCGAACCACATGTTCACAGAGCTCAAACTGGAGTATAGGAAAAATGGGGAAAAGGAAAATATCTGATATGATTTTCCTATGTCATCTCTTCCGGATACTGACAACCAAGAGTAAGCAAAAGCCATCCGCCGTAGCAATATGACTTTTTCAAACCTACCGAACTAAAATTTGAACTGGACACGAGCAACACTAGTTGGCCTATTCCTACGTCAATGCCTTGCAACTCTTTGAACAATGAAGACAATTGATGTCACCAAGTGTGCATAGATTCGATTCTCCTATAACAGTTAAACCTAATTGTATCTAGGTCTACTCATAGGGTTAGATTGGTTAAGAGGGACGTGTGCATTCTCCGAGCTATCCATCTTCAGTAGGATATTTCCTACTGAACAAATACAAAAACAAATTAACATGGATATGAATACTAACGTGATTGCTGAGATAATTCCAACACAATGATCAAATAAAGTTACAGACTTTAAAAAGAATATCAAGTTTCTCGAAATGGGCAAAAGGGATGATATGCCATTAGCACAAAATAACCAATCTTTTAAGTGTGCAAATGTCAGTGCAAACCACCACGCATGGCAGAAGATCCTAAACAATCCGCTCCAACTCTCTCGCGTAACTCAAAGTCTGATTGATAAGCTGCAGGGAAGGAATTTCCTTCGAAGGTGCAGATTCCTTCGCCTTCTGGAAATATACAAACCCACTCTTAATCTCCCACTCGGGATGTTCCTGCATTCCAACAGATACAGAAATGCTCAGGCTCCACATTACAGCTATTTACATAGATAAATTCTTCAACACAGTAGGACTACTGTTTACTATCTACATCAGCGCTTTCTCAAGCACGAGGTTTCAGTACTGACCCCAACTTACCTAGTTTGACCCCAGCAGAGTGAAAGCAAGGGCCAAATGACACGTAGATGTGGCAAGTGTAAGTTTTATATCTGTCTGTGATCCCAAGATAGGATAAACTACCATAATCGTTGAAAAGGATATAAATTAGCAACTCCATAGAAGAGGTTTTAATGAGACCCTTGGAAGGTCTGGACTGATGCTGGAGAGTATATTATCCTTCTGACTTAATTAGTCAAATTAGAATAGAATTCCAGGTAGAGAAGGCTAAAGTCCTCCCATAATATTTACCTCCCTGATATATTCCGCAAGTTCTTGGTCAGAGGAGAATAGCAACATTTGCCGTGCGTCACTAATTGACAAATAATCATATGCTTTCTCGCTACATCCAGCAATTTCATCTCTGTTGTAAAAAGGGAAAGAATAAAGTAAGCACACATAAGAGAATCTTTAAGTATGACAATCTCACTATTTAACTAAGACCTTGAAATCTAGATGGGTCACACTTCATGTTTCTATTTGTATATTGTGATGGTCGATATTGATTAGTACAGGCCATGAACTTGTGTATTTAATTCAAAGGCAACAGAAAGCCACACAAGTGTATGCTCAATCACCCCATTGCAAATGCCATACATTTCCAACAATACTTTCTGTTGCAAATATATGAAGAGACATATATCTAATTTTACTGATTACTAATCCAGTCTACCCAGTTGAAGCTAACTTCAAATCTTTTGACTGATTTAACATCTTAACAACAAAAAACACGGTAATTACCTGACTGTCTTGGCCAGAAGATCCATAAAATAAACATAAGTCTCATGAGGCACTGTCTGCCTAGCACTCAAAACACGATTGTAGGCCCCTTCCATGAAAGATTGCTCCAACTCAACAGCATGCTTGATGCAAGGATTCTCCAGGGCAGCAGATGAAAGCAATTCAAGTTCGGTATGGAACTCAGCTATTCTGTTCTGCACAAGGAGTCTCAACAGGTTGAGACCTAAAATAGGGTACTCTTGAGGAGATGGTGGAATACGGCCACTGCTCAGCCACAAGAATTCTCAAGTTAGTTCACATAAAAATGATGAGAGTAAAATGTTTAATAAAGCAATAAGGATGGGAAATCTTTCTCATAATCTAGCAACTCAAGTCCAATGCCTTATAGCATCTGCACATGCACGCGCAAATGAGTACGCACAAACAATTTTAAGCAACTCTAGCACAAAATTTTACCCTGCATCTGTATAATAAGGCTTCAGTTGAAAAAAATCTCGCTCAAATGCATCTTGATCTTCCATCTTCACACTTAGAATAACAGCATGCTCGTAAATATCTCCTGCGGAATGACAGAGCATATAGATAAAAATATTGCCACAGGCACCCATCTTACAAGCAACCAACCAGAATGATCAGACCAACTATAAGTTCTCCAAATTATTTCCCAAGAACATTCAATTGATACCTTAAAGGGACACATTATAAAGTGTATGACTCAGCAGAAGACACTTCTCTTCCACTTTTAACACAAAATGTGAATATAGAGAAGGAATTTGCAGTTTCCAGGAAAAAAATTCAGATTTCTCCACTTCCATTTGCATACCACTAAAGCACCATACTAGGCCCACAACAAGGAGAAAAAATCAAACACAATAAAGAGTAAACCTGATCTTACTTGCAAGAGTCAATTCATGGACAGCATTTGGTGTTTCCTCAAACAGCGGAGGAAGACTTTTGAACTCTGTCAGCAAAACCTGTACAATGAACATTTTCTACTTATTGCATACATACAATGACAGATACACGTACAAGAGAGACGGCACAGTTTAAAGTGGGGACCTCAGTCAACACTCTTCTCTACACAACAAATTTGGCAAGCAAACTCTCCATACAGTAACAATTTACAGAGCGAAATCTACAATGATTAGAAATTATATATACGAAGACCTCCAATTTGTTCTCCACTCAAACCTCGTCCTAAATGGGGGCAATCTGTGAGCTTCAAGCATTAACAGAATGCAACTCATGCCAGGGAAGGCCTTCTTGAACTCAACCAGTTCAAAATGTGCACCTCGCATACCGCGAATCGGATTCAGCTCTCCACAGAACAACCGGCAGCACTTCCAGAGTTGATTGGTGATGACAAAAAATCAAAACTTTCGATTCAATCTCGGCATACCCAATCACCAATCTTAAACCTCACAACATCTACGCTCTCATTTACTCCCACATCCGTCCCCGACCCAGCCCACATTCAGGACAAAGCTTAATCTCTACAGCCGAAACTCAGAAGCGCAAGAAGACCAAAGCGAAAACCGGTCACTGCAATACGATCAGGGCCCACAAATTCCATTTCTCTCGGAAACAACCGGAGAGCACCACGACCGCGAACCCAAAATTCTCGAATTCAGCAACGGTACTGAGCCAAAACCGCACAAAGGAGGCCGAAGACGTGCCGGAGAACGGCGATTACCGGGATCGATCGCTCGAAGGGGCCCCAGAACAAGCTAATAAACCAAAAACATTCGGTCGCGGAGCTCGGCTGCGCGCGCTCAGACCGGCATCAAACCAAGCATTCGCCATCGCGAAGCAGCTCAAAGAGGGGAGGGAGGGGGGGCGAGATTAGGGTTCAAACCTTCAGCTGCGAGAGGAGGCTAGTGCAGGCGGAGAAGTCGTTCCTGACGAGGGCGGCCTTGAACCGGCCGAACTGCTGCGACACCTCCGTGAGCTTCGGATCCATGGCTTCTCTTTCTCCTCTCTTCCTTCTCTTCTTCTCTCCTTCGCTCGGTCTTTGCTTGCTGCTTTGTCCTTGAGCAGAGCGTGCTTGCGCTTTGCTTTCCTGACAAGACAAAGGAAGGCAGGGAGGAGGCGGCCGGCGCGTGGGGGGCGCGATTGGGCCGGGCTGGGAAGATTATTATTGGGCCCGAGAGCGTTTGGGCCCGAAGATGGCCGAGATGGGAACGGGCTTGATGGTCGACAGTGTGATTTTCGTTTCCAGGATCCATCTCATTCATCACGGGCTTGGTGGAAGAGAGCATTGTTCAATCTTTGCCAAAATTTGCCAAGACAGGTACGAGCTGAATGATTTTTTTTCATGACTTTTTTCGAGCGCTCACAGAAATCTTGTTCTGGACATATAAAGTTTCGATAGGGTTAGAAAATTGTACTGGAATGAAGCGTTGTTGATTTTCGGGTTTATTTGCTGGGTAAGGAATAGGATCGATGAATCGATTTTCAGGTGTTTAATTGCGATTCTCCGGCCTACTAAAATCACACGACGAGCTACCCATTTCATTCATTCAGTCGAGTCGATCTGATGCCTTCTCTTCTTATCTCTAGATAACGCAAGAGCGAACTTAATAACTTATGACTTCACATGCGATGCAAAACTTATCACTTCTTTATCGAGTGTGAGGCACCACATATTTGGAGAGTACACTAACCTTAGACGATGTTTCAAATGATTTAAGATGATTTGAGAAGTTGCAACTATTTGAAGGCAGTCTCTTACATAATGTCAATAAAATGGAGTCATATTCATGAAGAGATACGAGAGGAAATCAAGATTTCACTTGCATGAAACAGTTGCAAAAAACTCAACGCGATTGAAAAGTCCATTTGTTTGGTTGCAATGCTATGGATAGGAAAGCTTCAACGATCTATTTTCCGCGTAAACTGGATTTTGCTGAGAAAAATTTGCTCTTACAAAAACGAGACGAGATGGGTAAAGAATTGTTTTTCTTCCTAGACATTCTATCATAGGAGATCATATACTTCTACATATTTTCTATATTACAACTTATGCTTCTTTTGTTTTGGAATAAGTACATTATAAGTCTTAGAACTTGTTTATGAAAATGCAATCAAATCCTAAAATTCATCATGAAAATACAATCAAATCCTAATGATTTCAAAAAGTATAATCGAATTCTAAAACTTGCCAAATTAATTTAATGAAGTCCTTCTGCTGAATGCCCTAGTTGAAAATCGATTGCACCTTTGTAACAGAGGTTATGACTCAATTATACTTCCGTGACAAAATTTAAGATTTGGAGTTCTCGTCGTTCATCAGGCTCAGGTGCCCAGAGGTATTTGTCTGCCAATCACATGAACACACGGTCCTAAGTCGAGTTGAAGGACAGAGAGAAGAAGACCGTCCCAAAACAAGGCCTATAACGACTTCCCACATAACATCCCTCGAGTGACAATGACAAATTAAATCTTTTACGGACAGCCGAAAGCAGGATGATGTTTGATCAAATGCAATCTCAAAAGAAAAAAATAAATAGGAAACCAAAGCGACTAAACTAAACTTAGAAACTTTGTAGTCACTAACAACGATCATTGTCCTGCCACGAGCATATTTACAAGTACAAAGAGACAGAGACCTCACGACAATCTCCACCTGATGGAGAAATTAAAAGTATTCACAGACTCTAGTGCTCGACTCTTATGCATTAACTCCCTCCAGCCCTCGAACTCACTTAGCATAATGAGGTTCATTTTGGAAGTTAGCAGCTCCTAAAAACGAGCTACGGATGTCCGGTTACATTACTGTCCAAACTAACATCATCCCTCTAAATAAATGTAAACCAGCTCCCTTTTGTATGAACAAATAGAACAACAAAACGGAATGACCACTAGAAAAGAAAGTGACAAGGTAAAGAGAGTGAAAGAGAGAGAGCCTTCCGTCGAGTCAGTTATCTGCTGAGTCCGAGCTTATTACGGTGCCTTCACCTTGTACCACATGGAGCTTGCTTTTGGGGCTCATTTTCTTCACATCCTGGCTCGAGCATATGAAAATCCTTCTCACCATGTTACAAAACTCCCTGAAAAAACCAAGATGGCACAAGCAATTTAAGTCGATATCAGTGATACAGGGAAACTTCTACACCAAGCTGAAATTGGGTAGCTCAGTAGAATGCTTACGGCCAGGGATCGTCGCCCATGAGCATCATATCTCCGTCATCATCAGTAAAGACAATCTCCCACTTATCTCGTGGCCGAAGCTGTCCTTTGAGGTCAAACATCTCTTCTAGCTCGTCCATCAGTTTACTGTAACCTTCCAACATGGTCAAGTCCACGGCACGACCTACGGCCATTCCTTGCATTTGAACCTTTATAAAACATGAATCCACCTTTGAGATTGAATTTTAGAGACAGACCTAGGGCAATAAGTCAGTTTGATTTTGTTTGAGACATACCTTTGTACGACTTCTAGTGGAGCAACTTTGCTTGGTCTGCGTCTCTCTCCCTAGATTCTGCAACTGTCCTTGTTTTACTTCCTCAGAAGCCTTCCAAAGATCACATTTCTGATCAGAATCAGCTGTTGACAGGGCGGTTTGAACATGTCCTTCAGTTGTAGCAGTTGATACACACATAGATTGAACAGGTGCCTTGTCCGAAGGAGGTGAACTTAAAGAGTGGTTAATCAGATCAATACCAAACAGCCGGCAACTAGAAGTTGTCTCGACTTTTTTACCGTCCTCAACTGGGTTGGGCATCTGTTCATTATTCAAGCTTGATGGATGCATTATTGAGTGCTTGGAGGGCACAGGCAAAGCAGAGATGCTCTTCCTGTCATCCGCTGCATCGGGTAGAATATTTTGAGAAACACTTAAGCATGGAGAAGACAGCCATCCCCCTTCTGTTTGGGCCCTTGTTATAGAACTGCCAGTGCTGTTATCTGCCATCTTGTAATTCCACATAAAATGACCATCACTACTTTTTCCCTCATCAGTAACTCTCAGTTGTTTCAGATCATGGGTCAGTGTATATCCAGAATTCCAGATAGCAGACGCAGCAGTAGCATCTAGAACACGAAATGACACTGAGATTGTCAGAATGTAACCTTAATATGGAGCACAAAACTAAAAGGCTAAACCATATAGTACAGCAAAACATTATATCCAACCTGCAGGGACTTCTGGACGGGGCCTCTTGCTCTTCACTGCTGTCGATAGAGGGATGCTTGCAGGCACAGAAGCCACAAAGGGTTCAATTTCCCAGGGTGATACCCTGTCAGGTCTTGGGATGGATGCATGTTCGTCCCATTGAACCTGAGCAAGAGAGATACTTGGGATGAGATTATCTCTCAATAGTAATTTACTTTTTATAAACAAGAACAGCAGAACAAAGCAGTACTCTCAATGATCGCCATCTTGAATCAGTCCATTGAGGCGAGAAATCTTCCACCCCGACTATTGTACCGGAAAACCTAATGGAACAAAATACACGGGACATATAAAACACGAGAAAAAATACAATTGAATCTCAATGATCTTAAATGAACAGTCATTCTTATATTCCAATACCTTCTCTCTGGAGAATCCTCACCCTCAAATCTCATCTTGAATCTCATTCCAACTGTGAATTTATTGTTAACAGCCTCCAAATATTTGTTCAAGCTTATGATGAACTGACTAGTCCTGATTAAAAAGGGCTGGTTTTAATCAAAAGCGTGATTCAGCAGGAACAATCATACAGTGATACAGGACACTAATTTGGCGTATCAAACCTTGGCTTGTAATAAACTACAAACATAGTTTGAGTCGTGACAGCATGAGAGGCAGTCGCAAGGACTCCAAGGTGCATGCTCTGACTCGAAATCACTGAGGAAGGCATACTGCTCTGCTGACGAGCAACTCGTCTCACTCCAACACGCAATTCGCCATTGTCCCCCCTATCACATCACATACTGATCTTTTAACTTCCGGAAAAAAAAAAAAGCCAAAAACGTTCCCGGATAGGGCAAGGAAACTGGTGTCTAAACAGAAAATCATAAGGTGAAACACCTTAAGAACACGAACGAGTCACCAGCAACCAATCTCTTCGATGTGACAAACGTACTCCATCCTGTAGTAAGCAAATGCCTTCGAGGTTGACCTGTCAGGTTTCAGGCCAAAATAAAAGCACAAGTGCCGCCTTTTGGCATCAGTCCATTCAATATGAAACAAAAGAGTAAAAGTTACTCTATATGGAAAAGGATTGTGTGAGCTACACACCTCTGAATATATGCTTAAATTTCCATTCATATCCATGAAGATCCTTGGCAACTAACTCCTGGGTTGGGGTTAACTGGGTCATGTCCTGACGAAGACAGGGAGATAAGGCCCATTTGACAAAACCAAACAAAAGTTTGAAGAAAGCCTCTGGTTGTTCAAGTTTCGCAATCAATTACCAATGGGGGAAGACATTCGGTGGCGTGTTTCCTGAGAACAGAAAAGCCACCATGTGTGCTGGTATCAGAGGCAGTTAGAACCTTGCAGAAAGAATGAACTCTCGGTCTTGTAGGTTCTGGAGCGCATGGATCAGGACTGGTAGGCTCTGTTTGCTAAACAAGAGACAACATCCCCAAATCATTTGACTTAATCACCATATGCAATCACAACCTTAAGGAAAACATCTAAGGACAAGGAACCTTACATTTCCTTCTGGAATCAGAGTAATCTGTGCATAAACCTCATCTGTTTCTTGCTCCGCCTACAAATAACACAATAAAGCAAAATCTATTAATATCAAAGCTTCCAAGGGCTCAACCAATGCAACCTTTGGTTGTCAAGAATTCCAATCGCAAGGCAAAAGCCTTGCCGCGAAGCAACTGATATAGTTCCTCTCCACCGATTAGAAAATCGAAACCCTTGCTGCCACCAAATTGGACGAGTGCCTCTAGAAGTTTATCGTGACCATAAATATAACCGACGAACGCCGAAATATGGTTTAGCTCGGCAAACTAATTCTTAAACCGAGCAATTTACCCAATAAAAGAAGGAACAAGAACATCAATTCTCGCGAAAACAACAAGAATTTGAAGAAGAATACCAGGAGGTGAACGTGCACAATCCGGCAAAGAATTTTGGAAGGGAGGCTAAAGAGCGGAATCCTCTGGTTCAGTTCCTGATTTGTCGATGCCTCCAGCTACAAATCCACAGAAATGGCAACAAAAAAGGAACACACTCAATTCCCACTACCCAAAAAGAAGCAGCACCACCCACACATGGAAACGAACTGGAGCAGCGATTAGGGAAAGGCAGACAAGCGAAATCCTCTAACCGATCTAACATTCTGGAACCGAAATCACTCACTTGTTCCATGTGTCCTTGTGGGAAGTAGTAGACCCTGTCTCCTCCGCGAGGGACGTCGACCAGCGGCCCCGCGCAGGCCTTCCACAGCTCCATATAGAGGTCCTCAACTCCTCCTCCGCCGCCTCCGCCTCCACAACCTATCGCCGTCGGAAACAGACGCCGGAGAAAGGGGAAGAAACCAAAGCTCCTCAACATTTTTCCTCCCAAAAAACGAACAGAAAACGCGAGAAAACAAACGGAGGAGGAGGAGGAACGCCGGAGCGGAGCTCACCTTCAGCTCGATTCGCCATCATCTGAGCCCCGCCTGGGTCAACGGCTCCGAAGCTGCACCCCCGCCGGCCGGCGAAATCACAGACGAAAGGTCCCCTAGAAGCTTAGCTCCCTCCGTCCGTCTGTCCGTCCGTACGCCTCCTTATGTAACCGCAAAACAATCGCCGCGGAGAAATACTCACAGCCCGCGAGCCGTAAATGCGATTCGCCTCCTCCGCGAAGAGAGAGAGAGAGAGAGAGAGAGAGAAACAGAAGCAAAGACGTAACGCCAGAGAAACCCCCCCCCCCCCCCCAGCAGCACCGTCCTCTCGGCGACCGCGACGGCCGTTACGACCCGCGCCGCCACCGCCGCCGCCACCGCGGACCTCGCCGGCACCGGACCAGAAGCACCGCCCTCTCCCTCTCCTTTCTCTCTCTCTCTAGGCCCTTCGCTCTCTCTCTCTCTTGATGGGAGAGAAATGAATCACAGAGAGAACGCCGTTCAGAGAATCAACGAAACCGCTTTGCTCCACTTATTATACGCAAAGAGCTTTCTCTCCCTCCCTCCCCACTTTACCTCTCTCTCTCTCTCTCTCTCTCTCTATCTCTATCTCTATCTCTGCGCGTGCCGTGTGCATTGTTGCGCGATGCCATTGGTTAACCCCCCTGCTCGCCCCCGCCCCCCCCGCTGCCCCGAAACGCTAACCGCGGTTCAACCGGAGCGACGGGTTAGCGCGCGCTCACGGTGACGGCGACGGTAACGGCGTGCGCGGGTGGAGGGCGGGGGTTTTGTTTTTTTTGGTGTTTTGTTTTATTTTAATTTTCTTGTTTTGAATGAGGGGAGTCCGATTAGTTTAATGAGCGTGCCGGGCGCTGGGAGGCCTGTACGGACTGCGGGGGGGGCATCGGGATGCGATCGGAGGGGAGGTGGTCCAGGATAACGGAGGCCGTCGCCGTCGGGAGTCGCCGTTAGGGAGGGGCCGTCCCTTGTGTTGTCTGCTTCGAAGCAGGCAACAGGGTTGGCTAGAGTTAAACCGGCAGAATTTTGGGGGACTCTCTCTCCTTTTTTCCTTTTTTCGGGTTTAAGGTTTTAATATTCGTCCCGGTCTTAAAGTTTGACCTCCGTGTTGACCGATTATTACGGGTCGTGCCATTGTCCTCGCTTTGCGGAGACTGGTGATATGAAGGAGAGACCTGTACCGGTCCGCGCCCGGAAATAGGGATGTTGGATTTTTGTTTATGTGTTCGATGGAATTCTTGTTGTTAATAAATTTCACAGTATTTATATGTGATTTATAATATAAAAATCAAAACATTCCTTTATTTACCCGTCCAACAACTTGAAAGTGTGATCACCAAAACTCATCTAGTCGCACCGAATCAAAACTACGAGGGCCGATGCAACCAGAAATTCCAAATCGATAGTTCATCGCCATATTTACTACGAATTAATTTTCGTATCATAAAATAATCTCAACCTGGTAGGCACGTATCACAATTATCCCGAACTAATCTTTGCGTCACAAAAGATTACAAATCACGAAAATCTTAAAATATATAAATTTTCAAAATTTGCTAATTTCCACTTAAAAGCTCGTTCGAATTCCATGCTAGGATCCGTAATTTTTTGCGACACGAGCACTAGCGCAGTGGGGCTTTTTGGTGACTCGATAATTAATTCGAGATAAATGCTACACTAATACACCCGGTTTGATATTATTAACGGCGTCTAACCCTAATTATGTATAATAATCTTTAATGATTCTAGTATCAACGCAAAGAGGAGAAATGATTGGACAGCCACGCACGTGCAAATCATTTAAAACGTACGCATCATGGAGTTAAACCCTCCCATCTCGACAGGAACATCATGCGCCATACTAGGATTACCGGTCAAACCGATTGCCCAAGCAAAAGCATATCGTGCGGAACCAGCGGCGGATCGACGCACCGGCGAATCGGCGTCCTCCGACCGGTCAAAACGGTCGGCAACTATTTCACGCGCCCACGAGACTCGGGACGCTGACGATCTCGCCCAAAAGAAAATTATTATTTTAATTTTCTTTTATTGTTATTATCATTTTCTTTTTTTGTTTTCGTCGTTGAACCCTCTTGTGTAGAGCCTTGTCCCCAGGCAAAGGAAACTATATGGTCAGTGCTGTGACTCTGTTGTCCGGACTCCGATGTCCCCACACGAATCTGCGGTCCAGGGGGGCACACGTCATCGGGGAGTCGCCAGGCGATCCACGTGGTTAGGTCAGAGCGGGTCTCGGGACCACGTGTGAACACGGCTAGCTCCCCCTGCAGCGCCCCCGCACTGTAGCAAAACCTGCCTCCCTCCCGCCCTTTTTATTTTTCTGGTATGATAACACAAATAGTCTTCGGACTTTGAAGCAACGTGAAATCTTATCTTCAATTTTTTTCATTTGTTCAATGTGATCGTTAAATTTGTTATTTAATATGTAATATCGTCTCTAAACTTTTAAATTGTTCAATATAATCTCTAAATTAAGGTATATGTTCAATTTGATCTCTAGACGATATAAAAATATTCAATATTTTCCTTCTATTAATTCAAGTTCGAGAGTAACATTGAACTTTTTCATGTAATCTGGGAATGGGCTACCTCTAAAAAAAAAAGCATCGATTTTATATTGAGTGACAATTTTGGAGCGAACTTTTTTGTCTCGATAAAATGCACTAATTTTTACTCAAGTCCCAAATTGAATAAATTGAGGTACAGTTAGTGTTTTTTTTTTTTTAATTAGGCCTTTGAGGACTATCAAAAGTTCAAGGACCACATTAAATGAATTAAAAGTTCATGGATGATATTGCACATTAGGTTAAAATTCAGGAATCCAAAGTTTAGGAATCTTTCGATCAAAAAAAAAATTTAGAAATTACGTTATTATATATTGAATTAAAATTCATAGACTATTTATATATATATTTTTTTTTCCTTTTTTGGTATGAAGATTTCGAGGGGGGTTGATGGTGACGTGTCCCGGAAGGAGGGTCCTATGAGGGGGGGACGTACAGGAAATGATGAACTCAGCAGGTTTTGCTGGGTGAGTGCTGCTGCAAATGCACATGTGGTTGGGGGGACAGATGATGATCGGACAAAGGCCAGGATGCAATGATTTCGTACTCTCGCCCCGCGTTGTCCTCTCTCCATCCCCGGTGGTTTCGAATTCATGCTCGTGACTCCTTGCAGCATCCACTTTATTAAAAAGGATTAATGCTATAAAAAAAAAACCCAAAATTAATACACTTATAGTAAATTTACCTCAAATTCTCAATATATTTATGATAAATTTACTCCAAACTAATTTTTTTATCATCGAAAATCCCAAACGGGTGAATTTGTGATAAATTTACCCTCTAAATGCCACAAAAAATCACAAACCGGTACACATGTGACAAACATAGAGGAAGAACCTTAAACTGGTACACCCTTCAACTGTCACGTGTCATCCAACTCGGCAATTTGATAGTAAAAGTTAACAAAAACTTATAAAGGGTAAAATTATCACGGATACACCGGTTTTGGATTTTTAGATGTCAAAAAATTAGTTTTAGGTAAATTTGTCATCGGCGTACTAGTTTGAAATTTTTCGTGGTATTAAACCCTATTAAAATTTGTTCGAGAATACTTGTTTAGCAATTGATTAAGAAAATTTTATAATCTTTTTCGAAAGATCGATTATCTTTTTCTCGCATACGATTAGTGTCTTGAGAATTAATTTGTTACAGGACACTCGTTAACATATCCTTTATAACATCCATAGTCAATAAAAAGCATTTTCACGTGATTGGCCCCGTGCACCATTCGAGTGGTTCGCCGTAAACTGAAGATGAATTGTACGAGTCGGCAAGATTTTCAAGATAGTAAAAGATTAAATATGGAAATCATTGCCCAATTGTTGTGTTCTCATTTTGACGACAGTTACAAGAGATTTTGGTCAATAGATCAGCTTAAAATAGTCATGATAATCGTAATCACATAACATATCCGAATAAAGAGCTGCATTAAGTTATAAAGGGTGCGTAACTCCAAGTGAAATAGAGATGTATATACATTTTCCTTTGAAAATAGACAATCTAATACCCGTATATAAAATTATAAATACCCATATTTGAATCGAATTCACACACCTTGTTTGGCAAGCCACCATTTTGAATCAATGGAAATGAAAGAAGACGCATGAATCCCTTGCTAGACCTTCCTCTCCTTCGTCTCCCTCGGAAATGCTATGATCGAATGGTGATGTGCCAAGTTCGAAATAAAACGATCACAAAATACTATAGGACCGATAGTAGCCAACCTTTATAAGAATTTCTAATGTTTTTTATTCATAGAAAAGATCATAGAGACAAATACTTACAGAATTAGGAAAATACGAGTGGGAGATACCAAGCCAATCAGCCACAGATGGTATTTTGTGTAGAAATGTATTTAGTGTAATCAAAGCTTTTGGCCAGGTGGAGCAGCCAACGGATCCGAGCTTGGAGGGATATTTGTCCAAAAAAAAAATCACAAACCTATTATATAGTGGTTAATCCACTTCTTAAATTTTTCAAGTTTATCAATTTAGTCATAAACTTTTTGACAATTTATCGATACAGTCCTTCTGACAATTCAGGCCGGAAGTTGCTGACATGGGCGCAGATCGCAATTTTCAGCTAATTTAGTTATAAACTTTAAGAGATTTTTTTTTTTTTGACAATTTTCCCTAGCTTATTACGTGCATTATGCGTGGGATTTATCAATCATCCATCTCATGCAAACAGTACGGCGGTGGATTTGTGAATGCATGTTACGCGGTCAGCAAAGGACTCTGCACGCTCTGGCAAATTGGACGAACAACCCCAGATGAAATTATTGCTGTTGTCACCAAACATTATTGCGGTGATGAGTTGTAAAAAGAGGTCTTGCGTAGGAACGACCCTTTTCCCTTCCCTTCCCTTCCTCATTCCTGGAAGACACGGCATAAAGGACGGTCGACCATTTGTTTAGGCCTAACTTTTACCTAAATTAGGCCGATTAATTAATGGGAATTTGAATTGATTAAGCCTATGGCTTGTGCTCTGCCCGGTAGCTTTTGCACCTTTTTGTGACATTATATAGCAATCCCCGGTTGTCCCCAACGAGGAATGTCCAAGATGCTTGCTTACCCAAGAGCCGGATGCTTTTGTTCTCGATCGATCGACCGACGATTACATCGTATTCTTATTCCTTTCCGATAATATTAGTTTATGCGACGATCGTAGAGGTACGCCCCCCGAATTCGCGATGGGAGAATTCTCCGCCCTTTCGTGTCCAGATTGGTCATCCGCATCCTGATCTCATTCCAAGCCGGCGTATGCATCTACCATTAAATGGTAATTCTCCGCGTTCGAAAGGAGC